GTAAATATATATATACATTGCTTACTGATGTACACCACTTAGAGAGCGTTCACACTTAAAGCGGTATATAAGTCTCACAAATAAATAAATAAATGCGTCAATGCTTTATTACCACTTTCTATTTGCTTGCTGGTTATTCTCCGATTGAAGTATGTGCTTGATCAGCCAAGGGGCAAATAAGTCTCTTTGCTTGCAAATGTCTCCATGAAAAATTATAAACTAAGTAATAATAATAATAATAATAATAATAATAATAATAATAATAATAATAATAATAATAATAGTAAAGTTGGAAGGGACCTTGGAGGTCATCTAGTCCAACCCCCTGCTCGGGCAGGAAACCCTACACCATTTCGGACAAATGGCTGTCCAGTCTCTTCTTAAAAACTTCCAGTGTTGGAGCATTTACTGCTTCTGGAGGCAAGCTGTTCCACTGATTAATTGTTGTAACTGTCTAACTGTCTATGTTGTTTCATTTGCTTTTTTCCTGTTCCACGTGCAACAATTATCACTAATAAAAGACTTGGGATGATCCTCCTCAATTTTTCGGCTTCACTTTCCTCATTCATCTGATGGCCTGCAGTGTTCAGATGTCAATGAAAAGGCCTGGCCCATCCTCCCAAACTTTCAACTTCATCTTGACCTGGTCCCAAGACCAGCTAAGGCTGGGTAAATAAGGGATCAAACAAAGGGGATCCAGAAGCTCCTAGAATGATGTTGCCATTCTTTCCATAAGAAGGAATTGCCATCTTTTCTTTGGATTCTCTTAATATACTGGCACAGATTCCTTCACAGCTACTCTGGCGACTTACTGAAAAGGGAAAACAAGGTGACCAACATGAGATGAGGCCATTTAGAAGCTGAATCAAGGATAAAGGAGTCCCCACTTGTCTCTATCAATGTTTATACCAGTTACCATAATCCCAGGTTCACCTGCTCCGTGTATGGAAGTAGAAGTTGACGTCTCCTGCTCTGCTTCCAAGGGCAGTTTGAGAACTACTCCTGGTAGAAAAGCAAATATTTCTTAAGTAGTGTCACAGGGTTCCTTTTTCAATACCCCATTCAGTGGGCTTCCCAAATTCCAGAAGCCTCCCCCCCACCCCCAGCCTTGTTTCAGCCACCGAGCCACCAGCAGACTCAGTTGCCCCAATTTGATTCTACACCCTTCCTAGATCTACAGCTGCTGTTTTACTAACAGGCATGAACACCTCCAGGTCTGGACAAACATTTGAAATGATATAGGGTTGCCTGTCTGAGCAAGGGGTTGGACTAGGTGACCTCCAAGGTCCCTTCCAATTATTCTGTATTCTGTAAGTCTCCTTTTCCCTTTGCTTCCAGTTTCACACTTGGATTAAATAATCCACATCCCCTCAGAGCCTTCATGCACCCACAAAACCAGTACACCAACAGCCATGATCAAGACAATCAGCACACACACACACACACACACACACACACACACACACACACACACACAGAGACTGGCTGGGAAGCAAGGGAGTTGAAGTCAACCCTTCTGAAAAGCTGCCAAGCTTCAGAAGCCCTATTGTTTTGCAGTCTGTGCTATTTTTAGGAAGCAAAATTGAAGACAATCCAAAGCTACTTTCGTTTTTCTATAAAGCAGTTGATTTTTCCACTGGTCTATGTAAAAAAAAAAAAAGCAAGTATATCGTAAGTAGTGTCAAGGGTTCTTTTTTACAATATCCCATTCAGCGGGCTCCCCAATTTCCAGAGGGCCATGCCAGCAGCCCCCCCCCCCAGGTACCCAGTGCACAGCAGCAGCCAAAAAAGCCAAGGCAATCCTAGGCTGCATGAATAGAGGCAGTGGTGGGATTCAAATATGGGAACAACCGGTTCTCTGTGTGGATGCTACTTGCAGAAGTCTGTTCTGGCCCTGGGCAACAAAAAATTAGCTACCGGTTCTGCAGAACTGTTGCGAACCAGCTGAATCCCACCACTGAATAGAGGGATGGAAATCAAGATCACATGGAGTGATAGTACTGCTTTGCAAAGCCTTAGTAAGACCACACTTGGAAGATTGCATCCAGTTTTGGTCAACACAACGTAAAAAAGATGTTGAGGCACTGGAAAGAGGGCAGAGAAGAGCAACAAAGATGCTTAGGGGTCTGGAGGCTAAAACATATAAAGAACAGTTGCTGGAATTGGGTATGTCTAGTTTAATGAAGAAAAGGACGAGGGGGGACATGATAGCAGAGTTCTAATATCTGAGGGGTTACCACTAAGATGAGGGGGGGGGTCAAACTATCACAGAAGGCCAAAGAAGAAACAACGGATGGAAACTAATCAAGGAGAAAAGCAATCTGGAATTAAAGAGAAATTTCCTATCTGTGAGAACAATCAACCAGTAGAATGCCTTGCCTTCAGAAATTGTGACTCCCCATTGCTGGAGGCTTTAAGAAGACACTGGACGGCCACCTCTCTGAAACTGTATAGGCTCTCCTGCTCGAGCAGGGGGTTGGAGTAGAAGACCTCCAAAGTCCCTCCCAACTCTATTATTCTATGTTGTATGTTCTGCTCTGGCTACTGTATTAAAAGGGAAAACAGGTATGAGGTGAGGCCATTTTGATATCTGATATTTTCAATGATATTTTGGTTCCCATACGTCCCCACCCAGGCTACACGAGATGCCATAATACCAGGATCACACGGTCCGTATATGGAAGACAGAACTTGACTTCACCTATTCTGTGGAGGCTTCCAAGGGCACACATTGAAATCTTCATACCACAATACAAAATTGAATGAGCAGTACAAATGCATGTTGTAGTTAGTCCTAGAGAGAGAGAATGGATGAGAATAGAATCACTAAAGAAATATAAGAGGGAAAGGTGGATAGGTCACGAGGAAGAGAAGACTGATGCAGTTGTGGTTGGATGGGGTTGATTGGATGCTGAACAAAATGAGGTGAGAAGTCCTCAAAGAATTCATAGGCAACATATAAAGCAGTGCATAGATGTTGTGGAAGCAAGGATTATTTCAGGAGAATAAACAATAGCAATAATAATAGCACTTAGACGTATGTACTGCTCCATTGTGCTTTACAACCTGTTTACGGAATCAGCATATTGCCCCCAACAATTTGGGTCCTCCTTTTATGACCTCGGAAGGATGAAAGGCTGAATCAACCTTGAGCCAGTCAGGATCAAACCTATGGCAGTTGGCTTGCAGAGTTAGCCTGCAATGCTACATTCTAACCACTGCATTACCTTGGCTCTTACAAGGGCGATGGGAGGCACAACTAGATCATATTCTGGGCACCCAGCCCCTTCATCACCCACCCCGAGACGTTCCATAATGGGTCTACTGTTATGAATGTTAAGAGATCTTTCTGAAGACGAAGCAAAAATGTCGGGGGGGGGAAGGCAAAAATGTGCAGAGTGAAATGGTGTAGTGTCTTCTGCATGAGCAGGGGGTTGGACTAGAAGACCTCCAAGGTCCCTTCCAGCTCTATTCTGATTGATTGTTTGAATCTCTCTCTAGTACTCCTTGCAGCATCATCATCATCATCATCATCATCATCATCATCATCATCCTGGACTGGACTCAAGCAGAACTAAAAGCAATGGATAGGAAAACCAGAAAAACAATGACAATGAATCACGCCCTTCATCCACGCAGTGACATTTACAGACTTTATCTACCAAGGCAAATAGGTGGGCGTGGAATGCTCCAAGTACATCACATGGTTGAAGAAGAAAAAATGGCTTTGGAAGAATATCTGAAGAATAATGATGAAGATGCACTGAAATTAGTATATCTGGAAGGCTTACTGACTACTGGAGAGACCAAACTGGCCTACAAGAAAGACCAAATGAAGAACAGAATAGAGGCATGGGAAGACAAAGCACTACATGGCCAATACATTAAAAAAATAGCTGGAAAAGCAGATATTAACAAGACCTGGCAATGGCTAAGAGCAGGAAAATTGAAGAAAGAGACCGAGGGACTAATTCTGTCTGCAGAAGACCAAGCCTTAAGGACAAATGCATATAAAGTCAAAATTGAGAAGACAGCAACAGACAGTAAGTGCTGCCTATGCAAAGAAGCTGAAGAAACAGTGGACCACCTGGTAAGCTGTTGCAAGAAAATTGCACAGACTGACTACAAGCAGTGGCATGACAAAGTAGCAACAATGGTGCATTGGAAGATCTGCAAAAAATATCATTTGCCTGTAAGCAAAAACTGGTGGGATCATAAAATAGAGAAATTCATAGAAAATGATAAAATTAAACTGCTATGGGACTTCAGAATTCAAACAGACAAGCACCTGCAACATAACACCCCAGACTTAACAATTGTCGATAAGAAAGACAAAAAAGTCTGGATAGTGGACGTGGCAGTGCCTGGAGACAGCAGAATAGAAGAGAAAGAACTGGAGAAGATAACAAAAATACAAAGACCTACAAATAGAAATAGAAAGACTGTGGCAAAAGCAAGCAAGGGTAGTACCAATAGTAATAGGCTCCTTGGGTGCAATCCCAAAACAACTGGAGCACCATTTGAACACCATTGTCATTGACAAATTCACTATTAGTCAATTGCAAAAGGCGGCCGTACTAGGAACTGCTTCCATCCTGCCATGATATCTGTAACACCATCAAACATCCACATCTGCCTATCCCAGGTCCTGGGTAAGGACTCGATAGGTAGACAAAATGCCAATTCCAGTCTGAACATCTGGCTGACTGTGTGATGATTAATAATAATAATAATGTGCGATGATCCATTATTACTACTACTACTACTACTACTACTACTACTACTACTACTATTATTATTATTATTATTATTATTATTTCACCTATTCCGTGGTGGCAAAAGTCCACACACCTGGAATATTGCTTAGTTTATACTATTTCTTTCACAGTGTCTGTCACTGTACTTGCAAAGAACGAAACTGAGGCCAGTCCAAAGATACTTTCTTTTTCCTGTAAATCAGCTGCTTTTAATGCTGAGGAAACTCAGATTTGGATAGGCAGGCAAAATGGGAGGAACATTTTTATTATTTGAAGAAACAAAAAAACAGGAAATTAGGGGGTTTATAAGAGAGATGCAGTCCGTCTGATCGGAGGAGTCTGGCTCTTTTTGAAAGAGATCAACCCCAGCCTGCCGAGAGACCTTTGAGAATTATTCCTTTTATAAAAGCAAGTAAGTAATTTGTCTAACTTTTCCCCTCTATAGGGTTAGCTATTGTGGATTCTCTACTCCTTGCTTTCAAATTCTCTGTTCTCTTTTCAGTTTCTGCTGATCTTCCTATAAAGCAGCCTTCAATAGCATTTCCTTTCTCCTAAAGATTGTGTGCATTAGGAATCTGTGAATGGCTGAAAACCCTTCAGCGTTAAGGAAATCCATGCACCCATCATCCCTCGTTTCTGGACCCCAAATTTTTGTGGGTGGCTTTGGGGAATCAGCCAAAGAAGCAACAACAAGTGTCTCTTCCCTGCATTGGGTGGTGCCTTCTTTGGGTCTACACTGGATTGTTGGGCTGGACTTTTGATATACTTAATAACTGGGTTTGCTTAGGTTTGCAAGTCTGATAGTACTTCAGAGAGGATTCTTCCTTAACTGTCTTGGGTTCAAAAGGGAGGGAGGGAGGGATTGAAATGACCATCAGGCTTCCAAGATTTGGTAACTAGAGGTTTGTAAACAGAGAGATATGAAATTCTTCACCTTCGTTTTCTTTCCCATGGCTGAAACGGCTTCAGGCAAATGGCTGACAACCCTTCAGGCTTTAGGAAATGCATGCACCCTTCGCCCCTTGTTTCTGGACCCCAAACTTTTTTGTAGGTGGCTCTGGGGAAGCAGCAGACTTTTCTCCCCTGCATTTAAAGATGGGTTTACACTGGTCTTTTGGGTGCAGTTAATAACTAGCTTGCATTACATTTGTGCCAGTGACTTTATGGAGAAGCAAGGAAGAGAATAGAATTTGTATCAAAGAAAGAAGAAACGGCCAGAGGTTTAGAGTGATCTGAAGAGGAAGGGTTCTGAGTAAGGAGAACATCTGGAAAGCTTCTTGCTCCCCTGGCTGGTTTTCACTCCACCTCACCTCTTTGGACGTTGATCCAGGCAGAATTGTGGTTGCAATTATGAAAGGCTTCATTTTTGAGCCCAGTTTTTTTTTTTTTTTTGAGGGTGGCTTTGGGGAATCAGTCAGAGAAGCATCAGACTTTTCTCCCCTGTGTTAGTTGATATCTTCTTTAGATTTAACACTGGATTTTAGGCTGGACTTTAGTGCCTGGTTTTTCATCCACCCTTCTTTGGACGTTCATCCAGGCATATTGGTGTAATTATCAAAGGCACCAGTAATAGTAATAGTATACAACTACAACTTGTCCTTGACATACAATAGAAAAAACAGACAGATGAGAAGCAACTTAGCCAGCAGTAATAAGGTAAATGGAGCAAGAGGCACAGAAGAGACCCTCTCTATTTTTTTGGTTAAAAAAAAATAGGGATTGAAAAGTGAAGTACTTCTAAGTTTGTAAGATGGATTTCAGCTTTAGCAATAGCAATAACATTTAGGCTTACATATCACCATAGTGCTTTATAGCAATCTCTTGGAGGTTTGCAATGTAGAAGCATTATTTGCATATTGACCCCAACAATTTGGGTCCCCATCTTACCAACCTTGGAAGGATGGAAAGCTGAGTCAACCTCAAACCGGTCAGGATCGAACTGCTGGCAGTGGGAATGCAGAGTTAGCAGCAACGCTGCATTCTAATCACCAGGGCTTTGGAAAGATTTAAGACCTTTAGGATTTCGACCAGATAGGAAACATGATCAGATGGCTTATGCTACTTTATTGTAAGGTTACATTAACAGAATTTTGCAAGTCTGAAAGTACTTCAGTTCCCTTCAGAGAGAAAGGGAAGATTAGAAAGAAGCTTAAACAGATTCCTCCTTAACTGTCTTGGGATCAAGAGGGAGGGAGGGAGGGGTTGATTTGTTTGATGATCCATTGGTTGGTTTTCTTGGCTGTCCACAATATTCTTGGTGATCTTCTTCAACTTCAACCCAAATTCCAAGTGCCAGACATAGCTGGTTTCCCAATGTTTCTTTTCCCTTCCAGATAATCTGCACAGAACAAAGAGCAACAATGGGCAATCTAGTTGTAAAGGATTATCTAAGGAGAGAATTTGAAGACTTAAGGAGCGATTTGAATCAGGGCAGTGTCCCCAAAGTGACAGCTGAATACCAACAATGTTTAAATGAAATGCAAAATCTGCCCCTTGATATTGCAGTTACTGGAGATGCGGGTGTTGGTAAATCCTCCTTTATCAATGCCTTCCGAGGAGTAATGGATGACGATAATGACGCAGCCGAGGTTGCAGCAGTAGAAGGAACCAAAATGCCAAAGCCGTATCCTTATCCTTCTTTTCCCAATATTAAGTTATGGGACCTTCCAGGGATCGGAACACCTAAATTTCGGGCAGCGGAATATATGAAGAAGGTCCAGTTTGAAAGATATGATGTCTTCCTTATCATTATCTCCAATCGCTTCACTGAAAATGATGCTTTGCTGGCAAAGGAAATACAAAAAATGAGGAAGAAATTTTATTACGTGCGCGCCCATATCGATGAGAGTATTAAAAATGAAAGCAGGAAAAGAGATTTCAATGAGATGGAAACCCTGTCAGCCATCAGGAAACACTGTGAAGGTGTTTTGAAAGAGGCAGCTGAGCTTTCTGAAAGAGTATTTCTGATATCCAACCATCATGCACACATGTATGATTTCCCTCTCCTACAAGAGACAATGACCGCTGAACTTCCTGACCACAAGAAACAAATTTTAACACTGGCTGTGCATATTTTCTCTGAAAATGAATTGATGAAGAAAAAAGAGCTAATGAAAGCCTATATAAAGAAGGTAGCATGGGTATCTTGTGCTTGTGGAGCGGTGCCTCTCCCGGGTCTCTCTATAGCTTGTGATGTTGGAATTTTTATAGATGTCCTGAGACGTTTCTGTCAGGTGTTTGGCTTAGACGACCGGTCCCTCCGTTTTCTGGCACTTCAGACGGGAAAAGAATTTGAAGAGTTGAGGTCGGCTATCAAGAAAACCCCGTTAGCCAATACAATAAACGCAGAGCTGGTATTTTCTCTCTTGATGAAGTCATCTGTTTGGGTAACTGTGTCAGTGGTAGAAGTGGCTCTTGAAGTTATACCTGTTCTTGGTTCTCTGTTTGGTGGAGCGAGTTCATACCTTGTCACCTGTCATTTCCTGAACAGCTTTCTTGATGATGCTGTGGAAGACGCCCAAAATGTTCGGGCAAAACTTCTTGAGTGATCAGAGTCCCAGGGAAAGTCTCAAGACAACCCCAAACCCCATTTGAAGGGGACCGTCAAGCAATTCATCAAAATGAAAGCAGGGAGAGGAAAATAATAATATGCTTCAAAGCCTTATTGGAACTATCTATCTGCTTGCTCCTTTTAGTAATTCTGTGATTGAAGTACGTGCTTTTTCACCCTAGGAGGAAGTGAGTAACTCTGTCTGCAGATATTTCCATGGGAAGTTAGAAATTAAATAATTATCCATATTGGTTTTTGAGGAATGCTTTTCTTTTCTTCTTTTCTCTCTTTGGCTTTTTTCTGTTATATTTTAGCAAAGTGGAGATTATTGTATGAAATTACAAAATTCATGATCCTTTATTTTTAAATACGAGGAAAACAACTCAACAGAGACTGTGTGGGATATGTCATTAATGTTATACTTACCATTAATAGCATAAGTACAATAATTGTTTTTGGAAATATATCTCTTCCTTAAATAAAAAGCATTTTAAAGAAAGATTCCTATTTTGTTATCCAACTATGTATCATTATCACTGCTGCCAGGAAACAGCCAAGTTCAGAATATCAAGGACCCATCATAATGCATTCAGTTCTACATACAGGTCATCTTCAGGGAGTTTTTGACTTATGACCATAACTGAGCCAGAATCTCTGCAGTTGTGAACTTAGTCACACACCTGTTAAGTGAATCTGGCTTCCCCATTGACTTTGCTTGTCAGAAGGTCACAAAAGGGGATCATGTGACCCTGGGACGCTGCAACCGTCATAAATATGAGTCACCGAGCATCTGAATTTGGATCATGTGATCACGGGGAGGTTGCAATGGTCATAAGTGTGAAAAATGATCACATGTCACTGCCACTGTCAGTTTGAATGGTCACTAAATGAAGTGTTGTAAGTTAAGGGCCTGTATTTTGGGTGACACACTTATTTTGTTTAAACCGTGCTCCCTCTGTTCAAATGTGTGGAAATATTTGGACTTTTCTCCTCTGCTGGTTTTCCCTGCCTTTTACATAAGTTGGATTGCAAGAAGCCATAGAGGAATTTTCGATTCCTGATATACACACACAAATTGCCATTCTTTTTATACAGCCAATGGATTGGGATGCTTGATAGTAGCATTGGAATTGTGGTCATCCTGGAAGGGTTGGTTCCCTCTCCCAGTCAGTTTCCCCAGCCTTACTTTCCTGTCTTCATCAGAGCCTGTTTCCACTGAAAAAGGAATCACTTCTATCCTTTTCTTTACTCCATTGGCCTGCAGACCACTTTTCTCAAGGACCCATATTGTCTGTCCGATGTCTCAACTTCATGCAGATTCTTAAAATAGGGGACGACTAGATAGCCATTTCTCAAAGAGGCTGTAAGGGGAGCCACAGATTGAACAGGGGAGGGGAGGGGAGGGAAATATTATTGAAGCAGGAGAGAAAAGGAGCTTCAATTGATTCCACTTTAACTGTCCTGGGTGCAAGAGGAGAGAGGGAGGGAAGTTCCCAGGAGGCTTTCAAGATTCAGCAACTAGATCAAGTAGAGTTCTCAGCATTGTAGTGAAATCTGTTTTTTGGCCTGGCTAACTGAGCATGCCCAGCCCCAAATTGACCCGGTTCAGTGAAGGATGGGGCAAACAGATGGGTGAGAGTACAGCCTGGCACCCTCCAGCTTGCCTGAGAACTCAGTGCAGGTGGAGGGGAATCCCCCAACCAAGCAGAAGGTGGATTTGCAAGCATCTGGGTACTCAGAAATGGGGGTGGGCAGCATTGTCCTCCCTCCTGGCTTGCCAACGCTCCTGTCCAAATACAGCAGAGGCAAGTGGCAGGTTCATCAACAGTTACATCTCATCCAGGCTGGCTAATACTGTATATTTCTGCTCCAGATGTCTTAGCTAATCCTTTGGAAACCTATGGGAGATGGAGGTAGCTGAGCATGCCTCAGGCTAATGTTCCCTAACTTCTTTTGTTGCAGAACACAATTTGGATACATCTATGCCATGGCAAGCAGGCATCCCGCTTTCTCTGATTCAAAGGGAGGGTGGGGAGTAACAGCACATTGAGACTTGCAAAATGCTGTTATTACTGAATAACCAGTCGCAATGAAAATAATTCTGGCCTTTCTGTGGAGTTGAGTCCCTGGTCTGGTTTGCCTAGCGAGCCTCAAGGACATCCGGAGAGTAGATGCAGCAAGGCTACGCCACCCCGGAAGGACAAGAAGGTTTTTATTGATTTGAGTCCTGCCCCTGAGGGTGAAGGTCTGTCTGTCTGTCTGGGAAATCCATTCTGGGTCTGGACAACAAAAAATTAGCTACCAATTCTACCAAACTGATGCGAACTGGCTGAATCCCACCTATCTATCTATCTATCTATCTATCTATCTATCTATCTACCTACCTACCTACCTACCTACCTACCTACCTACCTACCTACCTACCTTTCTTTCTTTCTTTCTTTCTTTCTTTCTTTCTTTCTTTCTTTCTTTCTTTCTTTCTTTCTATCTATCTACTTTTCAAGCTGCTCATTCCTTTGCAAATGGAGGAATGGGGCTTTGGGTGGTGTAAAGGTTCAATATCAAACCATAAAAACAACATATAAAATTTAAAAGGCAAGGATGAATTAAAATCAGTGTTCAAGTTATTTAAAAGGTGGTTGGTAGGCTTTAAGGTCATCACCAACCAACCCAACAGCTACATGCTCCTCTGTGTGGCCCAAGGTTGTTTTTACATCTTTCCAGAGAGCCATGAGATTGGGGTTTTCCACAAGGTGGGGGCAGTGCCTGAGAAAACTCTTTTCCTGGACCCCACCAATCAGAATTCTTTAGCTGACATGTCGACAACATGCCTTATTGGGTGGGATGGGCTGATGGAATGAGAAGAAGATGGTTCCATAGTTAACGTAGCCCCATCATGTAAGATAATAACTGACCCCATGAATTTGACCTGGAACCACACTGAAAAGATTGCCATTTTGCCCTATCCAGACTGGCAACCCTCAATCTAAAGCCAGTGATCTGCAGAAGGGGCACAAATACACTGCTCTATGATATGTTTAAGTTAATTACATGCTGATCAAAATGACCTCAGAAGGTGAAGTGGTCTCTTACTAAGGACTATGGTGGTTTTCGTAGGCATAGGGATTGTGAAGGGAGACATGACACAACTGAGAAAATCACAATCTCTCTCTTCATTTCCAGATAACCTGCGCAGAACAAAAAGCAACTATGGGCAATATATTTCTAAAAGATGATGTAAGGAGAGAATTTGATGATTTAAAGAGTCATTTGAATCAAGGCAATATCCCTGAAGCGGCAGCTGAATACAGAGCATATTTGAATAAAATGCAAAACCTGCCACTTAATATTGCAGTTGTTGGAAGGGCGGGTGCTGGTAAATCCTCCTTCATTAATGCCTTCCTGGGCATAAATGATGATGAGGAGGAAGCAGCCGAGGTTGGTACAGTAGAGGAAAAAACGGTGCCAAAGGCACATCCCCACCCTTCTCTTCCCAATACAACGATATGGGAGCTACCAGAGATCAGAATGCATAATTCTAAGGCAGCTGATTATCTCAAGAAGGTCCAGTTTGAAAGATATGATGTCTTTGTTTTGATTGCCACTGACTGCTTTACTGAAAACGATGCTTTCCTGGCCAAGGAAATACAAAGAAGGAGAAAGAAGTTTTACTTTGTGCGTAGCAAAATCGATATCAGTATGGAAGGTGAAAGGAGGAAAAGGAATTTCAACATGGAGCAAACCCTGGAGACCATCAGGAATTATTGTGAAGATACCTTGAAGGAGGCAGCTGAGCTCTCCACGAGAGTATTTCTGGTATCCAACACACATGCACACATGTACGAATTCCCTCTCCTGCGAGAGACAATGGCCACCGAACTTCCTGATTACAAGAAGCACCTTTTAACCCTGGCTGTGCATGTTTTCTCAGAAAATAATTTGATGAAGAAAAAGATTTGCATGAATTCCTATATAAAGAAGTTAGCGATAGTATCTTGCCTTGGTGGAGCACTGCCTGTTGTGGGTCTCTCTATAATTTGTGATATTGGAATTCTGATAGATGCACTGATATGTTTCAGGCGGGTGTTTGCCTTAGACCAGGGGTCCCTCCGTTTTCTGGCACTTCAGACAGGAAAAGGGTTTGAACAGCTGAGATCAGGGATCAAGAAAAAGCCATTAGTCAAAAGAGTTAATGCACAGCTAGCATTTTTTCTCCTGATGAAGTCTGCTCTCCTGGTTATGCCATCGTTTGTGAAATATCTGGGGACATGTCTTCGTGTAACTGTGTCAGTTGTAGAATTGCCTCTTTCTTTTATACCTGTTATCAGGTCTGTGTTTGGTGGAATGAGTTCATTTGCCGTCATGTATTATTTTCTGAACAAATTTCTCAACAATGCGGTGGAGGATGCCCAGAATATTTGAGAAAAGCTTCTTAAGTGATCAAAGTCCCTGCAAAAGATCCAAGGAGCCATCCAGCCGCCTTTGAAAGAGAGCATTTCATCCAAATTAGGAGGAAAAAATATTAATATGCTTCAATGCTTTATTACAACTTTCTATTTGCTTGCTGGTTATTCTCCGATTGAAGTATGCGCTTGATCAGCCAAGGGGCAAATAAGTCTCTTTGCTTGCAAATGTCTCCATGAGAAATTATAAACTAAGTATTTATCTATGGTGTTTCATTTGCTTTTTTCCTGTTCCAGGTGTAACAATGATCACTAATAAAAGAGTTGGGATGATCCTCCTCAATTTTTCCGGCTTCACTTTCCTCATTCATCTGATGGCCTGCAGATGTCAATGAAAAGGCCTGGCCCAGCCTCCCAAACTTTCAACTTCATCTTGACCTGGTCCCAGGACCAGCTAAGGCTGGGTAAATAAGGGATCAAACAAAGGGGATCCAGAAGCTCCTAGAATGATGTTGCCATTCTTTCCATAAGAAGGAATTGCCATCTTTTCTTTGGATTCTCTTGATACATTGGCACAGATTCCTTCACAGCTACTCTGACGACTTACTGAAAAGGGAAAACAAGGTGACCAGCATGAGATGAGGCCATTTAGAAGCTGAATCAAGGATAAAGGGGTCCCCACTTGTCTCTACCCAGGTTTACACATTACCATAATCCCAGGTTCACCTGCTCCTTGTATGGAAGTAGAAGTTGACGTCTCCTGCTCTGCTTCCAAGGGCAGTTTGAGAACTACCCCTGGTAGAAAAGCAAATATTTCTTAAGTAGTGTCACAGGGTTCCTTTTTCAATACCCCATTCAGTGGGTTCCCCAAATTCCAGAGGCCTCCCCCCCACCCCCAGCCTTGTTTCAGCCACCCAGCCACCAGCAGACCCAGTTGCCCCAATTTGATTCTACACCCTTCCTAGGTCTACAGCTGCTGTTTTACTAACAGGCGTGAAAACCTCCAGTTGTGGACAAACATTTGAAATGATATAGGGTTGCCTGTCTGAGCAAGGGGGTTGGTCTAGGTGACCTCCAAGGTCCCTTCCAATTATTCTGT